TAACATTAATGGGTTATGACACATGTCAAAGGTTAAATGCTGACCAATAAAATGGTATTGTACTTTTCAATATGTCAATCAAATAGTGGCGTGATACTATATCTGATTTCCAGAAAATTAACACATGCAGCAAATGTCAGTTGGATTTGTATGTCAGATACAGGTACATTTGAATGCATTTGTCGTGGGATGCATGCTCTATAGCCATTTACGTGTTATTGAATATTTTTTCTCCCCGAAAACTCTTGAAAAAAAGGGGGGGTGAGGGGTGATGCAAAATTTTATTCGATGTTTATCTGCCCTCTAACTCGGAAATGACGTGTAGTTTCAAAATAGTTTTAACGTTGTGATAAGAAGGAAACATTTTCTAATACCAATTATGAAGGTAATTAATATTATTCTTCCATTCCCAAAAACTACAAAAAAATCGGTTAACTGATTGCAATGGTTGCATGTTGAATGCGTGTAATGTCCAGGGACAAATATTTGAAGCATGATCAATTCACGGAGATAGACCTTTATAAAATGAAGAAAATTACTAAACATCCATTGACATTATATTTTTTAGAATGTTTTTAATTTCGACACGATAAAAACAGGTATCCAACTAAAATAACAGTAAGAAAATTTATAGTCATTTCTTTTACATTTTTTTTTTATTCTTTCATTACGAGGAGGAAATTAAACGACTAAAATTCCAGTGACAATTTTTTTTTGGAATATTATATATTGTCATGATAAAAACAAGTATCCACCAATTTATCAGTATCACCTCTTCGTTTATAGACCACGTTATTCCTTTTTGTAGCTCTCCTCGAGCATTCATTTGTTGTAAGAACAGTGTATATTAAACCATTTTTAAATAAAGGGTTTACAAGCCCCCTCCCCCCTTTTTTCCAGATTTTTTTTTTTGAGATATATTGTTGTGTATGCATTTTGTTTAAATTTATTAGAACATTTTATGGTCATTGATTTCATAGTTTACTAGACCAAGGAGGCGTAGCTAGACAGTGAAATAACAACTTTTGAGAAGGAAGTTAGAGTACTGGTCTAAGCTCCTCCCATGCGCATTCTTTACTTTTCCTATGACAAGCGACACACAGCGGGACTGCAGAGTGCAATAACTAATATCGTTCAGTTAACGTACTCCTCTAAAAATAACAGAAGTTAACTCACTCGAAGATCAAAGGAAAAATTTTAGATTTAGACTATAAGAAATTTTGTTGGGTTGCTGTCTAATAGATACAAAATCCCTTTAAAGGTCCATAGACAGTACCCTAACTTCGCTTTAGAATACTTGTCGATTTTGCGGGCTGATGACTTTCATGCTCAAAAGGCACAAATCCCGTGTCAGATGATTATATTGAATTCGATATTGGTGGCTGCTTAGTAATTGTAGTCTTTTGAAAGAAGGAAATTGCCAGAATAAAATTCTCTGGATTGTCGGCTACCATATGAGATTGTATGTTTAACGTATTGAAAAGACGTGTTTCACATATTAAATAATGCAATCCCTTAACAGATCTAAGATGTGTAATTCAGAAACAATAAAGTATGAAATAAAAGATAAAAAACAGATATCAACAGATGACTGTATTAAAACATGAGATATTTATTTTCATATTTTTAATTTATTTCTTGACATCGATTTGTTAGATTACTAATATGTAACATCTGCAATTAAATAAGAAAAATATAAACTTTTCTGTATGATATACCATTTTTTACACTATTTTGTAAATTTTAAAATGTGTTGAATCAATACACATTTAATATGACAAAATTTATAAAACAAAATAAAACAAATAGATTACGTTTGTGTCAGGGTGTAGTTTTATTTCTAATTCGTTATAACGACTTACCTATATCGTTATAACGACTTAACTTACCTAACTCGTTAGTTATGCTAAGTCATGTGATGTTCTTTGTTACTTAATATTAATTTGTTCTAGGCGAATCCAGGGTCTAGCTTTCGAAAAGTCTGGCTATACTTTTGTTGTTCCTTGTTTGAAACGACCACTATCATCAGGTTGGGCTAGATACATTTTGTCTGTCTTTCTGTTACACCTTTATTCGTGGTTTAACACTAGAATTATTTACATGTAATAGCTTTTACTCTGAAACTATCTATAAAGTAGGATTGAGATTCGTCTTCATATTTAAGTTGGAATTAGATATACTGAGGGATGCAGATTGACGCTTGTGGTTTGAAACTTTTACCAGAACACTTGAATTTGTGACTTCACCCGTAAATGCATTAAATACAATCGATAACCTTTTATTGGTACACCACCAGGTATTGCCCTGTCTCGTGATGGTAGTGAACCAGAAATTTAACATATTGGTATAAATAGTCGGGTACTATGAAAGTCGGACTACAGTCAAGGTCAATCTAGTTAGTGGTAAGAGCAGACTAGTCACTCTTTATCAACTTTTTGAATAAGGTCAAAGAAGCTACATAGGATAGATGATGCTTGAGTATTAGATCCATCAGATATTTTATATGATGAACGACACAGGATTAAACCATGTACAAACTGGATTCCTTGAAAATCATTTTAATTTTAACCCATTTATTTATGTAAACAATAAACCGGTCTAATATAAACAAAACAACGACATCAAGTTCGACGCTTTCACACTATTTACATCCAATATTCTCTAGTGAAAAATAGTTACCCGGAATGAAAGTACGCTTACAAATGCACTTCATCATGTTCATGTTGTATTTTGAGTACCATTTAAAAAAAAATCTTTTACTTAAAAAAATAATTGCTCTTTTTTAGCCTTTAATTTGACAACTGATCAGACTACAGACCATTTTAATCCAGTTTATAGAGGACAAGAAATTATAGAAATGTAAAATGTCTAGATTTACACACTATTATTCTTCTGACATTATTACTGACGAGTTAGAGATGTATGTACCAGAGTGAACAGGAAAATACAGAAATAAATAAAACCTCTAATAATGAAAAGATAGATGGATCTTCTTTTATCTCCACTAACCATGCTAACCAGGGGCGTGTTTTATTGGTCTCTTCTGTACATCTCCAGAACGTCTTCTGGTGAAGAGTCCAAAAAAATGAATCTGGACCTCTTCCGGAGATATTCTGTAGAAGAAGCAATAAAACAAAAAATCTATTTGCCGTCGAATATATCAGATTTTTTTAATGTTGGATGACATAAATGAAGTTTACGATGATTTATTAGAAAATTAAGATACTTCAATTTATTCGGTAGACATGATTGTAATAGTGTGCTATGTTTCAGCATTGGTGTAATTATACAATAAGTGTAAAAACAAAGAAAATTGGTTGGAAGAAATCGCTGTGTTTGTGAAATTTTTTCTTTATACTTTACTAACTAAAATCTGACTTGAAGCGCCGACCATGTGATTTTAAGGAATAATCTTAAACTGTACAAGAATTTTTCAATAATTTTTTTTAGGTAAAGAACTGGATTATTTTTGCATATATAAAAGATATTGCAGAGTTCTCAAAATCTTTTTCCCTGGTGGCCCTTGAAGAAAATCTGCTGGTCCTAACTATTATTTCTATTGTAAAATTTCGATGATCAAAACCTTCGGACCACGACTTTTTGATTGTATATGTATATGTATACAAGGTATATATGGTCATGGCGTTTCTCAGACTGTTTATTACTAAATCCGTTGATTGTGTAATGATTGATACTTTAGTTTGGGGAACAAGATTTATTTGTTAGTTGTAATTGGCTTTGAACAAACTTTCAGTAACTGAAAATACTCTAAAAGTTATTTCGGTGCTTTGTGTCTATTGTCATAATGTTAGTTGGGTTTTATTTTTTTGTGTCTCTTTTCTTTTGAGTGTTACTATTGCAACTGATTTTTACAGTTTGTTCTTATGTTGTACAGTTACACCACTGTCCCAGTTTAGGGAAGAATTGATCGATCATAAACATGTTTAACCCTGCCATATTCTTAATGTGCCTGTGCCAAGTCAGGTGCATGTAGTTCAGTGGTTGTCGTTGGTTTATGTGTGTTGTCCTCAGTGTTGCCTCATATTTGATATTTGTAAATTGTTTTTGTTATATATAATAAGGCCGTTAGTTTTTTCGATTCAATTGTTTCACATTTTTCATGTCGGGGCCTTTAATAGCCGACTATACGGTAAGGAGTTTTGTCATGGTTGAAGGCCATACGCCGTTACCTATAATTCCTTATATCCCCTTAATTTGAACTCCAATGGATAGTTTTCTCATTGGCAATCATACCACATCTCCTAATTTTTATATTACATACCTGACTTTTAGACTCGTGTTTTTTCAGAAAATGCATGAAATATCTGTCCCTGGACGTTAAAATTAAGCAACAAACTACCAATCATTTTAAACTCGTGTTGAATAAGGAGAAAAACCATTTGCCATTTGTTTTTTGGTAGGAGTGGGAGACATGAGGATTTTGAAAGGGAATATGGAGGCCTACCCAGTGAGAGCTGAAAATAGGCATGGCATGCTTAGGGACATATTAAAATGTATAATAAATCCGCAAAAAAAATTATCCTGCTCCCTCCCCCTCCCCAGAATATCAAAAAGTCGTCCCCTTACTTTGATTGTTCATGTAGTTTTTATATTTATCCAGGTTATCGTCCTACAGGGATGTTCTAAGGCTGCAATACCATAAAAACGTTAATCACACAGCACACATTCTATTATATCTGAATTCATAAATTTATTAATGTCATTTAGACTAAACGACGCCATGTTTGTTATATGCCTCTGCCGTCTAAACCACCTATTTAAAAAGAAGAGATAGGAGAGGAACAGAAGATCTTCACAATGCAAAAAAATAGAAATGGACCTCTTCTGGCTCACTACAGAAGAACAAAAAAACACGCCCCAGATAACAAGCAAGTTAGAGATGTATATATTCCAACAAGACAGGAATAGACAAGAAAAAACAGAGGCAGATGAAGTGTTTAATAGCGGAAATTTAGGCCAGGTCACAGACAGGTCACAGTAGACAGGAAAGTACAGGAACAGTTATCTCCCTTGATCAGAAATCTCATAAAGATAATTCAAGCAGTTTACAGAATCACATGATAACAAATTCTAAGGGAAAACCTTATGAATGTGGTGTATGTGGTGAAGTGTATAAATATAGTAATGACTTGCATGGACACATGAGAAAACATACTAGTGATAAACCTTATCCATGTGAAGTGTGTGGTAAAGGGTTTCGTTTGAATAGGGACTTAAAGAGACACAGGGTAATACACACTGGTGAAAAACCATATAAATGTAATGTATGTGGTAAAGGGTTTAGTGATAAAGGAAATGTACATCAACATAAGAGAACGGAACATGTTGGGGATAAACCCTATAAATGTGATATGTGTGGTCAAGGGTATAGTAGGAAATCTAACTTACAGAGGCACATAAGAACACATACTGGTGAAAAACGTCACAAGTGTGATGTTTGTGGTGCAAGTTTTAATCAGAGTCAGGACTTACAGAGACACATGAGGATACAAACTGGTGATAAACCCTATAAATGTGATATGTGTAGTCAAGGGTATAGTAGAAAATCTTACTTACAGAGGCACATAAGAACACATACTGGTGAAAAACGTCACAAGTGTGATGTTTGTAGTGCAAGTTTTTATCAGATAAACCATATAAATGTGAGGTATGTGGTAAAGGGTTTAGTGATATAGGAAACGTACATCAACATAGGAGAACGGTACATGTTAGGGATAAACCATATAAATGTGATATGTGTGGTCAGGAATTTAGTAAGAATTTTAACTTACAAAATGTACTACGGCACATACAAACACAGGTATCCGGTCGTTCCGTCCCCAAACCTATCCGGCCCCAAGTCGATCCGGCCCAAAGTCGATCCGTCCCAAGTCGATCCGGCCCACGTCGATCCGTCCCTACGTCGATTCGGCCCCATAATAAGATATGAATAAACTATATTGACTTTGGAGGATTTTGTGACAAATTTTAACAGTATAAATGGAATTTGTAAAAATGATGGATGACAACAGGTAAGTGAAGTATTGGAGTACCAGTCAACGAATTATTTTAAATCGATACGAAAATGAGTGTGATTGTGTCTGTTTATATAGCAGCGTCAACATATTGATATGAAGTTATTTTCCATGATAACTTTGAACGTCATGGCGATTTTTATTTTATTTAATTCACACACAGAAATGCTAAATAAATATTTACAGTCCAATGGAACCTATAAAATTGACTCATTAGTCTATAATTGGTTTGTTTATTCAACAATTGTCTAATGATTGTGAACTAAGGTAATGCCACTCGTGATCACTTAATTCAATCAAATCCTGATTGATTAAAGTTACGCAATCACTGGTCTTTATAGTTTGATCTTTTGTTTGGTGTTATGTGTTATAATAATTAATTGTATTTTTTTTTCTTCAGGTAACATAAGAGGCTTCTATAACACGTTTTTTTTTTTTTTTTTGTAATATCGAATATAGTCAATATATATTTTTAAAGTTGACAATATTTTGAATAGTTGTGTGTAGATAAAAAACAAGTTTTATGAGTATCCATTATTCTTTATTTTAAGATAATAACAAAATAATTACACTCGATGCACATAAAGATCACATCTATTTCTTCATTTACCATGCGTCTGTATTCCAGAAGAGATATACTCCTATAAAGGAATTTAAAAAAAAGTAAATATCTATCTTTATAATGTAAAATACAAATATATAATACAAAAAAATAGAATTTATAAGCTTTTTACCATTTTACACCTGAAAAACACGCAAGTTAATATTCCCAGATTTAAAACAAAACTATATACTTTTTTTCATATTTATGGTTTAATGATTTAATGATGAAAGCAAAGACAAAAATATTTAAGACTTATATACAAAATTACAGTTTGATTATATTAAAGCAAACAGTGAAAATAGAAACTTACCGAAACTTGTAATGAAAACATAATCAACATAGTTGTTTTAAACTCTTTTAAAGAAAATATTTGTGAAAGGCCAATTTTTTTTTACCGTACACCTTTTACATTATAATAAAATTCATAAACATTTCTGAATTACAATTAATATATATCTTTATTTTTAATCCTCATAAATATATTTTTTTATTGGGCCGGATCGACTTTAAATATGGGCCGGATCGACGTTGGGCCGGATCGACGTGGGACGGATCGACTTGGGCCGGATCGACGTGGGGCCGGATCGACATGAAAGCCAAACACATACTGGTGAAAAACCTCACAAGTGTGATGTTTGTGGTACAGGTTTTAATCAGTCAGGGTTTACAAAGACACATGAAGATACACACTGGGGATAAACCTTATAAATGTGATATGTGTGGTCAAGGGTATAGTAGGAAATCTTACTTACAGAGGCACATAAGAACACATACTGCATGTACCATGTGTACTGGCGAAAAATCTCACAAGTGTGATGTTTGTGGTGCAAGTTTTAATCAGTCAGGGTTTACAAATAACACATGAGGATACACACTGGTGATACATGTAAACCATATAAATGTGAGGTATGTGGTAAAGGGTTTAATGATATAGGAAACGTACATCAACATAGAACGGTACATGTTAGGGATAAACCATATAAATGTGATATGTGAAGTTAAGAGTTTAGTAAGAATTTTAACTTACAGAGGCACATACAAACACATACTGGTGAAAAACCTCACAAGTGTGATGTTTGTGGTACAGGTTTTAGTCAGAGCCAGGGGTTACAAATACACATGAGGATACATACTGGTGAAAAACCTCAAGTGTGATGTTTGTGGTACAGGTTTTAGTCAGAGCCAGGGGTTACAAAGACGGATTCAGTCAAGATAGTGAGTTACCATGGTTACAAAGACACAAGAGAACGCACTCAAGTGATACAATTTATGAACAAATGAATATAATGTCGGTGGAAAACAGTTAAGAATGTTCGCTACTCTGCTTCGAAATAACAAGCTCTTTATAAGACTGTTATAAATCAAAAGTATATGAATAAAGGAACTGAAAAAGCCGAAAAAATTAAAGGGTCCGTATGCTTGTTTTTGAGATATAAGCCATTGAAAATTTGGTAGGGTGTTATTCTCTCTAGACTTTTCATGCGTTAAACATTTGCACCTTTTTTCTTTCATAAACTATGAAAAAATAACAAGGATTTTATAAGATTTTCAAATATACATCATGTATATGGCTTTTAAAACTTTATGTTATAAAATTATAAATAGAAAAGTAGGGGTTTGAGGGCAAAATTTTCATTGGCACTACAGGGATAAAACTCGAGGATTCCGAATATCTGACAAATTTTCAAAAACAATAGGAGCGAACATCCTTAAGGTGGATCATCGGTATATATTTCCTCAGATAGAATTTTTTTATACTTTGCCAAAATGAAGATTTTTCAATGCTTTTTTCAAAAATATAATAAAAAGTACAATAAGAATAATAAAGTGTATATGATATGGCCTTTTCATAATAACACATTGTATTAAACTTTACCCAATATAATCATTCCAGCAGAGCTCTTAGTATTATATTGGTGTCTTTGATTGATACAGGTGTCATGGGTGTGGTATTGAAAAATCCATAAGATATTCTCTATTTATTTTTGTCTCACCTGGCCCAAGTGAGCTTTTCTCATCACTTGGCGTCCGTCGTCGTTAACTTTTACAAAAATCTTCTCCTCTGAAACTACTGGGCCAAATTTAACCAAACTTGGCCACAATCATCATTAGGGTATCTAGTTTAAAAAATGTGTCCGATGACCCCGCCTGCCAACCAAGATGGCCAACATGGCTAAAAATAGAACATAGGGGTAAATTGCAGTTTTTGGCTTATATCTCTGAAACTAAAGCATTTAGAGCGAATCTGATATGGGGTAAATATGTTCATCAGGTTAAGATCGATCTGGCCTGAAATTTTTAGACAAATCGGACAACCTGTTGTTGGGTTGCTGCCCCTGAATTGGTAATTTTAAGAAAATTTTGCAGTTTTTGGTTATTATCTTGAATATTATTATAGATAGAGATAAACTGTAAACAGCAATAATGTTCAGCAAAGTTAGATCTACAAATAAGTCAATATGACCAAAATTTTCAATTGACCCCTTAAGGAGTTATTGCCCTTTACAGTCAAATTTTTGACAATTTTTTTCGTAAATTTATTTAATCTTTTACAAAAATCTTCTCCACTGAATTTCCTGGGACAAATAGAATTAAACTTAGCCACAATTTTCAATAGGGTATCTTGATTGAAAAATGTATCCGATGACCCTGTCATCAAACCAACATGGCCGCCATGGCTAAAAATAGAACATAGGGATTTACTATAGAAGTCTTAGGGAAAATTGTATAAAAAACAATTTCAAATGGTTACAACTTTAAAACTACTTTAAAAAATGATAAGGGGTCTTCAGTATTAAACTATTGTAAGGCTAGTTACTAGTGGATGACCTGCTTTTAGTTTAACTACTGGGCCAAATTAAACCAAACTTGGCCTCAATCATTATGAGGGTATCTAATACTATTTATTATGATTTAAACGTTATTATACATGATTTCCAAAACCACAGAAGATACAGGCCTAGGTGAGCGACACAGGCTCTTGAGAGCCTCTAGTTTGATTAGTGGTGAAAAGTTGCCCAGGAGGTAAACAATGTATTAGAAACACCATTGCTGTACTTTAACTCTGCAAGTACACTGTTATGAGTATCTGTAATACACTCATAGAAAAATTAAATCTTATTCAAAGTTTATGGATGAATAAAACTGGACAATATGAAAATGTTAAAGATCAATATGGGAATAAAACAAGAAAAACTTTTAGAGGTGAATAAGAAGATTTTAATAATAAGTTTGCATACAATGTACTATGTATAAATCTCCAAATCACAAATGTAAACATGTTTCAAATAAGTCATGAATAACATGTGAATAATGTGAAAGCTAGATTATCTATTTTTTGCTTTAATGACATTATTAAACATTTTTGTGTTAAATGCTAGCAAAAATGGGTACTGAACCATCAACAGAATATACCAGATAAACAATGATAAACATGATATAAAAAAACAATTGTAACTAATTGAAATCTGCTACTGTTATTAAGTTTCTTAAGCATAGAACGGTTCCATATTATTTTCCCTTGTATCCAAATGAAATCTATTACACATACATGACATACCTGCATACTATTTTTATTATTTTAGATGGATTAACCAAAAGACCAAACAATTGAGAAGGTATATTTCTTTCATATTCAAATATATGAAATCAAGGAAATACAATGTAGCCTTAATCAGTCAGGGGACTTACTTAAATGAGTGATTTTCTAAATCACTGATTCAAGTAACATTATGTCCATAAAGGTTGGAAATAAGAGTTGTCTTTCTTTAATAATCACCTATTTAAGTAGTACAAATTAATCACTAGACTAAGTGATTTAATTTTATTTTAGCTTTAAATATAGAATACTAATGATCCAGGGACTAATTATGTTGCTAAAATTATCAGAACCACCCTACTGAAAATGTTAAGTGGGATTTCACTGAAAATACCAGTGGAGTTCCATCAGAGTTCCATTGGAATACCACTGTATTACCACTGGGAAATTTGGTCGGGATTTTCATTGGACATTCATTGTTTTCCATTGGGATATCAGTGGAATATCCAGTGGGATTCCGGTGAATACTTGAGTGGAATACAGTGGAAATTCCATTGGAATACCAGTGAAAACTACGTTGGAATACCATTGTTTTCCCACTGGACATTTATTGTTTTCAACTGGGATACCAGTGGTAATTCCATTGGAAATTGTAACAATCAACCAAAGAAAACCAGTGATATTTCAATGGAAATTGACAATTCCACTGAAATGTAAGATATCATTTTGCATGCATTGCTTATTTTTGAATGAATTAATAAGAAAACTTGAAAAAAGACAATAACCATTTTAATGCAAGTCAACAATTAAAGAAATTACAACAGTTTATACATTATCCACATTTAAGACCTTTTAAACGAAAAGATCAACCTCTTTAAAATATTAATGTTGATAAATTATCATGTTTTAGCCAAAGATGTATTTACTTAATTGTACATGTAAATCATTTTCTGGTAAAATCATTCATAAGTCCATGGTAACTTTTGGTGCTCTTGAAATCTTTCACAAATGGTTTTAATTTTCAATTTTACAAATTTGTTTATTGTGCATTAAACAAACAAAAATGTCCAGTTTACATGCATACGAAATACTTTGTCAGTTTGGTCAGTTTTCTTCATCATCCATTGATATTATTCATGAATTAAGTCCAAAATTTCTGCATTCCAATCCTGTTCCATTAAGTCTTCATAAATTAATCTGAAAGAAAAAAAATCATACATCATAACATGTATAGAATTTTGAATTAAAATAACATTACAATACCATGCTCCAGTCTGCAATTATTCAAAAATATATGTTACTGGCATATTTTTTTTGTGTTTGTTTAATTTATTCACAACATTTATACACTAAGAGCAATTAAGACACATGTATGTCTATTGTTGAAGACTATGTGTTCTCTAGATATCTTTGGCTATAGTTCTTAGACTTATAACACACATCTCTTTTTATCAAAATAGACTTTTATTGTTCATGGATCAGGTGTCTCTCAGAGGCCAAATAAAATAGTGTGTGTGGTTCCAGTTACATTTAAAAAAAATTAGGGTAGGTTGGTAAGAAATTTTTTTTATTTTATGGCTTTTTTTTTTACATTGAGTCTATGGGAGCAACATTCTGACTTAAACAGTACTTACTGAAAAATGACAAAAAAATCTTTAGGGTAGGCTATTGTTAAGACTAAAAAAAAGGTAGGTAAGGTAATTTGAACCACGCATATATTTTTATTTAGCCTCATATTATCTTTCCCTTTGTGTTGTGTTTGTTGTTGGTTTACTATCTGGTTGAAGCATACCAGACACCTCATTTTATTCACATAATAGCCATGATTAACCATTGTGCATGATGATCAGATCAATGTTTTTGAGATGTGTTTACACCTTATAGTAGTTATAGATGTGAAGGAATAATGTATTTTTATTTCAAGTGTGGGAAGGATGAAAAAATAATTCAAAAAGTACCTTTCAAAAATCTTATACTCAAATTTCTTTTCTGCTGCTGGTTCGTTTGTTTTCATCGTGTTTTCATATTATTGAGTGGATATTGATCGATGCACAGTCATCAATTTTGCAGCTTTGTACATGTACCTTCACCATGATATGATCAATCCCTTTTAAAATATGGACAACCTAAAAAAAATGTAAAAACATTTTATTAATAATTTTTAATTCTGGTCATGACCTGTATGCATCATATATTACTGATATTTATCATACAATGTACATATATAATTAAGAAGCTTCTTTCATTTAAGTATAAAGATTCTAAAACACAATATTAACCTTTAGGGATTTTTTGTATTGCATGTCCATCCAAATCAGAACATGACATAATTAAGTTGAATGTGCCTGACATTGTGTAGTAAACATCTTTCCTTGATTGTGAAGGCACACAATGTAATTGAATATTGAATAATAAAATTATTATTACATTCCCACCTCCCCCTTTTCAGAACACCAAATGGTCATCCTCAAAGTGTGAACTAACGGAGCCCATAAATGAAACTAAAGGGGATGCATATTTTTTTTTTTAATTTTAATTAAAAATATTCATGATGTAAAAATCAAATGTAAAATCTCTTAAAAATTACCTGTATCTGCTGTACGTCTGCCCTATATCAGCACATCGTCTCATCGTAAATTCTTGGTTCAACAGCTAATGTCATGCATAAATAATCTGCCTTAAATGTCTATTTCTTTATTTATCGAAGGTTGT